CTAGCCCTACCACCAGAAGGCCCCAAAACCCAAAGCCACTCAGTCTTGCCAGGGTTCAGCTGAAGCCTGTTGATCCCCATCCAGACCCTCACAGCCTCTGGGCTCCGGGATAAGACATGCATAGCATCACTTAATTCGCCAGAGGCAGAGATATATAATTGGGTAACATCAGCTTACTGACGATACCTCACTCCATGGCGACAGATGAGCTCACCCAGCGGCCTCATGTAGTAGTTAAATAGGAGGGGGGAGAGCACCGAACCCTGCAGTGCCCCACATAACAGGGGCCAAGGGCAGGATCTCTCCTCCCCAACCACCACCAACTAGAATTGGCCCCGGAGGAAGGAGGTGAACCAGCACAACGCAGTGCCACCCACCCCCAATCCTCTGAGCCGATGCAGAAGGATACCATGGTTGATGGTATCAAAAGCCGCTGAGAGGTCAAGTAGGGCGAGGATGGATGCACAACCCCCATCCTGCCCTCGCCAGAGATCATTCAAAAGCACAACCAATGCTATTTCACCCATGCCTGAATCCTGACTGAAAAGATAATCCGCTTCATCCAAGGCCTTTGAAGCTATTGCGCAACCACCTTCTCCAAAAAGGGGAGGTTAGATACTGGACAAAAATTGTCCAGTATAGTGGGGGTCTAGCAATGGCCTCTTGAGGATGGGGTGAACCAAGGCCTCCTTAAGAGGTGAGGGGAAAACCCCCTCACTCAAAGATGCATTAATCATCACTAGAACCCACTCACACATAGTATCTGTTGCAGTATCACTTCCCCCAAAACAGACCCACAAGCCCATTTCAGGAAAAGCAACAAGGATACAGGGAGATGGTAATTGTGGCTCTTCTGTGTCACATCCCACAGTTTTAGTTTCAATTTATTTTAAAGCAGCCAATATGATATCCTCCATCCTGTGTATGCAGGGCATATGTACATTTTACTCTGTTCATGTTTACAGATGCAGGGTGACAAGAAACACTTACAGAAGGATTTTTTCCTTTACAATGCCTCCAAAGTAAAGTGCAAGTCTTACATAAACATGCGAGAAGTTGCAGAACGCTTCCGGCTACCGCCAAATGAGTATGTCATCATCCCATCCACCTACGAACCCCACCAAGAAGGAGAATTTATCCTAAGAGTCTTCTCAGAAAAAAGAAGTCAATCAGAGTAAGTAAAAGATCCCCCTCCAACACCCCCACAGCCACAAAAACACACACACACATTGCTTCATATGTTTATTTCAGTACCTTTTGTGCCAATCCTGTTCAAGATTAAGCTAGAATTCAGGAGTCAGCAAGACAGCACCCATGGGAACACTTATTTCCATGATACCACTAGATGGTGATCATGGACCTTCAAAATAAAAATAGATGTTCAAACATTGCAATACCTTAAAACATTCAAAATCTCATAGGATAGAAAAATCTTACAAGAACTCTCTTCTCACATGAAATTTTGAGGACATTTCATTTCTGGTGGAGCTGGGGTTGGGTGGTGTGGCCATCCTGGTTCTCCTTGAGCTTCTAGCTGCCTTCAGTACCATTGATTGTGGTATATTTTACTTAAGACTTTGGACTTAAAAGTGGGAGGCCCAGTGTGTTCTCATCCTCCTTTCTCTGTGGCCAGTTCTAGTCACAGAGAAGTTGAGCCCCAAACCCCTAATTTGTAGGCCCCTTGGGGTTTGATGCTCTCATCCCTCCTGTTTAACAACTACATGATGCCACTGGGCTATAAATGTTGTGGTGACAATCTCTAAAGATACAAATAGAGGCCACTTAATTTCATGTTTTCCAAGCCAAGTAGAGAACAGGACACTTTAATATTTATTTCTTTTTTCCATTTCTTCACCTTTCTTATAGAGAAGTTGAAAGCAAGATTGAAGCAGGAAATATCTCTGTGAGTATGGAGTATGGAGTCTTATGTTTGAATTGTTTGTTCTTTTCTTTATGACGCTCCAGAAAAGTGGTTTGTTGTTCTCTCAGCCTTCATTACATGTTTATTGCTTTCACTGCTACAGTTTAGAATAGTATTTATTTATTTGTTCATTTATATATATTGCAAGCTCCCAAGATACAGGCCAGCCTGCAGCAGTTAACTGTTGCTGCCATTTGTGCTTAGGAATAGTTGCAATAAAGAATCATATAAACTTTTTAAGTTCTTTAAAACCAGCACTGCAGCATTTATGGCTCATCTTCATCAAACATTAACTAAATGCATGGCAAGGGATGTCCAAGGGAGGGGTTAAAAAAACTCAAAATGGCAGCCAGGATGCACATGAACAAGTCTTCAACTGTATGATCCCGACCACCATCTTGACTTTTTTTACCTCCCCAGACCCCCCTGTGCATTGCATAGAGTTTACAGTGATGAGAACCTGACTCTTGATCTTTCTTCACTCTCAGCATATGACACTGTTTATTTACTGGTTGAGTACATGACCATGTGTGTGAGAGCACAAGAGGGAGAGGAATATCTTTTGTGAATACGCCATCCTCTATCACAAACTGATTAGCTCCTGCTTCTCTGCTTCTCCTCCTCCCGGTAGCCGATCATCTTTGTCTCAGACAGAGCAAACAAGAACAAAGATCTGAAAGGTGGCGAGGGGCCTAGAAAGGACAAGGAAAAACCAAGTCCAGATAAACGAAAGAAGAACACTGAGGTTTTACATCTGTCAGCATGAGGAAATTGCATGTGCTCTAACCGATCAGCATGTGGAAGTGGTGTCAGCCTTGTGATGTAGTCCAGACAGGAAGCATGCCCCGATGAACTAACTGTATTTTATTGTAAGGTTGCATTAACAGAATCTTGCAAGTCTGAAGGTACACTTCTCCCCCATCACCTTTACAGCCCAAGAAACTAGGGAGGGTCCCTTCTGAGATGCTTGCTATACCCCCATTCCTATTGTGGGCTTAGCTGCCTTTTATATGACCATTCCCCTGGCTGCAGCTCTTCCCACTGTCTATGTATCAGTTCTCTCAAGTTTATATATATGTGTCTATATACAGACAAACCCACACAACAGGAGTTTTAGAGTATTTTTAATTATTTATGGCTCTCAGAATTATTGTTATGCATTTCATAAAAATAAATAACCAAGGAACTAAAAGTAGAAACTAAACTTTCTATTGGGATTTTTTTAACCTTTCAATGGTAATGATGAAACCATTATTAGATGAATGGAATTATGCTGAATGGTGCTTTGAATGATCAGCTCTACGTCTCATATATTTAAACTATTTATCAAGCGCCTAGAGTGATTAACGTATAGAGTCTTGAAAATATTTCTGTTCTTTCCTATAAGAAGAGGATAATTTATTCACTTCTTGTTTCAAGTGATCTTTGCCTGTTTGGCTTTTGCACTGCGTTGCAACTCTGAGATTTGTAAAGTCATTCTATGTGAATTGTCAGGGAGCAACTAACTCGCTAGGCAGCGGTGTTTGCACCAGGGTGGTAAAAAAAGTCAAGCAGCAGCCACAGCTGTGTAATCAAAGCCCCACCCCTTTTCTATACGTGTTGACTTTGCATGTGTATACAAAAGGTTGGGCTTTGATTACACAGCTGTGGCTGCTGTCTTGATGTTTTTACCCCCCCCCACAGATGCTGCTGCTGCTCTGCGTGTTATTTACTGTACAATGTTGAGTATTTTCCGCTTCAAGAAACAGATCCTGTCGATTTATTAGATTAAACACTTGATTATAATTTATCGGCAGCAAACTTTCTGCAAAACACAATATATTGTTAGTATTTGAGGGACCTTTCCCATTGATATAAATAACAATTACCCTATGGAAAAGAAAAAGTGGATTTTCACAGATGAGAGTTGTTTCTGTTCCATGTTTGTGGTTTGCTTTAGTTCCACCAAGTCCTTAATACTAAGAGTGCACTGGATGGTAAGCTTAGAAAGTGCCATACAGGTAGTCCTTGTTTAGCGACTTCCACGGACAGCAAACATTCACAGTTACGACAGTGACAAAAAAGTAATTTAGTGACCAATGCCTGCATTTACAACCTTTTCAGAGTCTCTCTCTCTCTCTGTCACCTGTTTACCATTATAGTCAGTTAATACAGTATTGCGTTGTCCTGCACCTGACCCATTTTTTTTCCTTTTTTTGCCCCCTGGCAGGGCAGAGAGGTTGCTTAAACAAGCAATCTCTTCCTGAGCTGCTTTTCTTGCAGTGCTTCCCTAAAAAGTGCTAAGAGCAAGTTAACAAGCTCAGCTCTGTGACCTTAATCCAATGTTGTCCAAACTTGGCCACTTTAAGATGAGTGGACTTCAACTCCCAGAATTCCCCAGCCAGCATGGCTGGCTGGGGAATT